AAAACATTTTAACTCTGTTTTCTTTCTCCTATTTTTTTCTCTCCAAATTAATTGTGTTTGTATCCTATTTTAAAACACTTCATCAAAAAGGAAATATCAGCTAAACTATTCTATGCATACAGATTTAAAAGACATCGACAATTTTCATCGGCTTGTAGAATCTTTTCAAAAATAAGTCATATTTTTGATCATAAAGTAAATATTTAGTAAATATTAAAAAATTGCAGCAATATCATGCTTCTTATCAGATTAAAATGGAGTAAATCTATGGCAAGAGAACCTACAGAAATTATAAACACGAGGAGGCTGAATAATAGAATTTTGAATGATTAGTGGCTCATTGAAATAATCAGGGGAAAAACTAAAATTTCACACAATCGAATGATAATGGAAACACAATATATCAGAATCTGTAGGGCACCATGAAGGAAGTTCTCAGAGTAAGTTTATAGTCACAGTGCTTGCATGAAAAAATCTAAAAGAGTTCAAATAAATAAGCTCATGATACATTTCAAGGAAAAACTAGAGCCAAAATAAAAACTCAAAACCAAATATGAGAAAGAAATAAGATTAAAATGCAGATTAATGAAATGGACACTAAAAGAGCAATACAAAAGACTAGTGCTACAAAAGTAGTGCTTTGAGAAGATAAATTTTCTAATCCCTTAGCCAAACTAACCAGTGGGAGAAGAATCAAATGAATAAAATTAGAGGCAAAAAGTGAGATTAGTATTAAACAGATACCATTGAAATACAGATTACTAGGAACTATTTTAAAAATTTGTATTTTAATGACCATAAAATGTAAAAGAAATTCAAAAATTTCTAGACCAATAAGAACTAACAAAATAAATTGAGATTATATATAAAACCTAAACAGATCAATAACAAGCAATGAGATTGAAACAGTGATTTAAAAAACTCCTAGCAAAAAAGTGCCCATAACCAGAAGAATTTACTGCTAAAGTTTACCAGATCTTCAAATAGTGAAAACTAGTTTTTCTCAAATTATTTCGTGAAATAGAGAGAGAAGAAACACTTCCAAACTCAGTGTATGTATCCAAAATAACTCTGATACACCAGGCATATAAATAATCAATAAAAACAACAACAACAACAAAAGAAAATTACAGATCAATCTTTGATGAGCACAGATGTAAAAGTCTTTAAAAAGCATACTTGCAAACAGAATTCAGGAATACTTTGAAAATAACATACACCATAATCAAATTCATTTCACCCTGGGGATTCACACATGCTTTAATATATATAAATCAATAGATGCAATCTATCACATAAATAGAATTATTTCGATAGATGTAAAAAATGTTAAATAAAATTCAACATTCATTCCTGAAAAAAATACTTATAGAAGGACCTAACCTCAATATATTAAGCCTAAACATGACAAAGTCATAATCAACATCATGGTGAAAATGATGAATAGTGAAAAACTAAAAGAATTTTCTCTAAAATCAGGAATGAAACACAGGTGTTCACTCTCAGTATTTCTGTTCAATATAATAATTAAAAGAGCCAGAGTAATTAGGCCAAAGAAAGAAAGAAAAGAAGTAGAAATAGTGAAGGAAAATGTCAACATATCACCATTTGGAAATGCTATGATCCTTTATACATAAAAATCCTAGCAACTCAAGAAGACTTTTAGATCTTATAAAAAAATCCAGCAAAGAGCAAGACACATAATTTAGATACAAAAATAAATAACTTTTTCATATGCCAATAATAAACATAATGTGAGAGAAATATAGAAAATGTTCTATTCACAATAGATTTAAAAAACTGGTACTAAATTTAACCAAGAAAGTGAAAATTACAGAGGACTCAAGCAAGAAATTGAATGAGGCACTTATAGGAGGAGAGGTCGTCAATGTTCACAGATTTACCAAATTTTTAAAAGGCCATATTACCAAAAGTGATCTACAGATTCAATGTAATCCCCATTTAAATACCAATGATTTTTTTGTCAAAGTAGAAAAATATCCTAATATTTAGACAAAAGCACAAAAGACTAAAAATATTCAAGACAATCTGGAGCAAAACTAGCAGTGTTGGAGGTATTCTTCTTTTCCATTTCTAAGTAAACACAATATCATAATAATAAAGTTAGTATGGTGTTGGCACAGAAGTAGAAACATAGACCAATGGAATGGAATAGAATACAGGATATAAGATGGATGTGGTACTGCAGGCCTGTAATTCCAGCACATGGGAGGCTGAATCAGTAGATCACCACAAGTCCATGAGTTTTAGGCTAACCTGGTTGCACAGTGAGTTTAAGGTCAGTCTGAAAGATGTAGTGAGATCCTATTTCAGAAAACCAAAAAGACTAAAAAGAATACAAGACATAGAAACAAACCCATGCACCTACAGGTATATGCTTTCTGAGAAAAGGGCCAAAACATGTAATAGAAAATAAAATACCTTCTTAAATAAGAGGTACTGGGAAAATTGAATATGTCTATCAGAAGATTGAAACTGGATTCCTGTCTCTCAGTCTGTACTAAAATCAGATCACATTGTTCAAAACATGACTATAAAACCAGAAAGTTTGGAACTGCTGTATAATAACATAGAGAAAACATTTGAATTTATAGTCACAAGCAATAACTTCCTAAATAACATCTAAAAGCACAGAAAAAAAAAAACAACAAGCAACAACAAATGGGGCTACATCAAATTAAAAATTTCTATACAGTGAAGTAAACAATTGACAAAATAAATACCCAGCCTACAGGAGAAAAACTATTTAATAGCCATTCTTTGACAAACAACTAATACGAAGATTACTTAAAAAATGTAAAAATGTTAGCCCCATAAATCAAAGAGCACAATCAGTAAACGGACACGTGAATTAAAATGACACTTCTCAAAAGAAAAAGTACAAATTGCAAGTATACATATGGAAAAGATTTAACAATTTAACATACTGGGAAATGCAAGTCAAAACTATAATGAGATTCCATTTCATGTCAGTTAGAGTGGCTACCATCAAGACTACAAAACACAGTAACTGGTGGAGAGGATGCAGAGAAAAGGAACTCTTCTGTACCATTGATTTGAACATAAGTCACTATAATAAATATGGAAATCAATGTGCTGTTTCCCTAAAAAACTAAACATAGTGACACCATTTGATCCAGCAACTCCACTCCTTGGTATATTCCCCAAAGAAATTAAAGTCATCATATTGCAGATATACATGAATACCCGGGTTTATCACAGCACAATTCACAATGGCTAATGTATAGATTTGACATAAGTTCCTAAAACAGATGAATGGGTAGAAAAAGTTATGTATGTATGTGAAAACATAATAGACTATCATCCATAATCCATTAATCCATAAAGATTGAAATCATGTCATTTTAAGGAAAATGTATGTATCTGGAAACCAACATTTTCAGTGAAAGAAGCCAGACTCAGAAAATCAAATATAACATGATTTCTCTCAAATATGCAACCTCAGAAAGTAATATTTTTTAAAATACTGATGACATGAAATTAGAGGAAAGACTATTAGAAAAGAGGGAGAGAATTAGGATTGGGGGCAGGAAATGGGAAGTGGGTTTGACGATGAATTATTAAAGTGTGTTACATTGCATGGAAGAATATGTCAAAACAAAACCCATCAATTTTATAACACACACTAATAAAAATGTCCAAATTAAAAATATTACAGCTAAAAACTTATACATCTGAAATTTCAAATAAATGGAGAAAAATGTACTGCAGGTATTGACCAATAGAATTGCTACAACAGTCAAAGAATCAATTAATTTGAAAATAAGTCAAAATGAAAAAGAAGGAAACCTTTTAAAAAATCACTTACACATGATGTGCAAATAAGATATGGGCAAATAGAGACCCAGAACTAAATAAAAAGTGAATAAAAAATACAGTTGAAGTGATACTAGTACAAACAATAAACCTAAAATAAGAACCCAATATTATTTAAATAAAATGAAAATCTGCAGTGTAATGAAAAAAGTAGGTACACAAATGAGGACGATTTTCAACAAAAATTCAATTCAACAAGAATTCAATTTTCAACAAAAATATTCTTCAAAAATAAGGTCAACATCATATTTTCAGATTAATAAAACAAAACAAATGAATATTCTAAAATCACATTAAAATGTGATTCTACATCAATTATTTAAGAATTTTGAAAATGAAATATATATATTATGGAAATAATAATTTTCTTATTTTAGGACTGTATTTAAAAATATTATTCTTTTTATATTAGCGTAAAGGAAATAACATGTATGAAAAAATACTGTAGCGGGGCATTGTTGCTCTGCAGGCCCTTGGAGGTGCAAAGCTTGGAGGACATGTCGAGGAAGTTGGGTGGTGTAGCAGTGTGACAGCCATGGGTATGCCCAAGTCTTCTCTTCCTTCAATGGCACTTGTTCTAAGGAAAGTAGTTGGCTGGCCTCCTCCTTCTGCATCATCTTTGGATTTGACAGCATTCCTGCCACGACCACTCTTCCCAGGCTGTTGCAACATGTGACTGGATGCATGGAGCTCCTACAGCCTGACCATCATAAAAAAGTCAAGAGATTTTTGATACATGTGCCAGTAATTCAATGCCCATGGAAATAGAGAACACCCAGAGGCAGGGCCTATGGGGTAAAAGAGACTGACAGAGGCTAAGCCATGTCCTGGGTCAATGTTTGGATATGAAGGCCAAGACATGGATATTCAAGTCAATGACAGCATTTCCACTAGATAAAAGGCATCCATCTACATAGGCAAAGGATATTAGCAATCCTGCAGTGCTGTGACTACTTCCTGGGTCCTGGAACTTTAGTGATGTCATCGAGGGGTCATAGAACACTGCCAAGGCCTTAATGATAACTGATATCACATCAACCATGGTGCCCAACTGATCACTGCTCCACACAGTGATCTGGTCAACACATAGCTTCCCGTGGTATTTTTTGGTTTGGCTATACACATTTCATTCTTTATCATCCATGACTAACACTGTGAGAAATTTACCTGATTTCAGTGATTCTCCAGAGAGTGAAATCATGAACCATAAACAGAAGAGAAAACATCTAGAAGGCAGACTCTCACCTCAACCTGCAAAGATGTCAAGAGGAGAGGAGAATATGCAAGATGATCTTCAGGGTGAAGACGAGATACTGGCTCCAACTCAATACTACAAAGTGAGGGATATTTCTTACACAACCTCAGAGCACCTCTCCTATGGAGACAAATTTCGTGGTGCAGAAACCAATAAATTACCTCAATATATTCTACATCTACCATCCCGCAAGAGGCCTCTGCATCAATATTTGATGGGGTGTCCGAATGACTCCTTCGTTTCAAGTTCCCATGTACCGTTCAAGTTCGCCAATAACCACTTGATGACCTCAGTATGTACTGAAAGGAAAAGAGTCATGAATGTTTACTACATGTGTGTCCTAACCAAAAGTGGTATCATTATCTTCGAGGATATGGATGGAGAATTAGAGCCTCCCCCTAAAAGGATAAGCATAGCAAAACTTACCTTTCCTGAGTGGATTCCTCCAAAAGTCACCCTCGTAGATGATACACAGTACCTCCTAACTAACAGCGAGGCTCACTGGGACAGTGAGGTCCAAAAGGGATGGGAAGAAGCTGAGAATGCATCAAAGCCTCTGGGTCAGGATACAGGTCTCAGCGTCAAAACACCTCCATGGCTAGTGGGCCTGGAGAGGGGCTTCTGGTGCATGGGCTGCTGCAGTGTCTTCCCCACTCTGGAGAGCCTTATGAAACATGTGGAACGTGGCATTGAGGAGGGCTTTTCTTGCCTTACTTTCCACCTTGCCTTTGTCAGGCTAAGGAGAAAAAAGGAGAAGGAAAGAAAGAGGAACATTAAGAAGAGAAAACAACAATATTAACACAACATCTGGAGGCTCTAGGGAGAAATTTCTGTGGTTTTGTTACATTTATATTTTTAATTTCTTTGTCAATTTTTGCTTTACTTTTTTTAATACATAGAAATTTTCATAGTCTTGACAGAAGAGGTTACAAATAAGATTAGACTTCAGTACCATAAACCTGTGGGCTTAAATCTCTTTCTTCCATTTTACACCTCTGTTCTCTTTCTGAGTCAGTGGTGTAGTCTTGGGAATGGAGATTATAACAGTTACAAATGATAATATTGGTGAGGGTCGTGAGGCACAGGTAAATTTTCTAATCCAGATGGGTTAGGCAAAAATGAGGCCTGACCCTTAAAGTGCTTCTCCATCTGGCAGCCAGAGGGAGCACGGAGTCACTAACAGCTGTCACATAGAGTACCTCACTCTCAAAGCCCTCAGGATGGCCCTGGGTAATTATTCCCAACATTTTCTGGCCATCTGTGTGGCTGCCTGAACGGGCTTGCAGCTGCAAGCCTGACACCTGCTTAGTCCTCCCATGGTACTCTGGTCTGTTTCGGGTAACACTGTGAAGAGGGGTGGAGGACTGGGCTCTCCCAGGGCAAAGACTGAGGAGGGATCAGAGCACACTGATGATATCTATAAATCCCCAAACTTCAACATCCATGATCTCATTTGGCACCACATCAGGAGACTTCTGGAGATCAGGAACAATCTCCATTTTAGCTCCCTCCATTTCCCAGAAATGTTCAGCGCTGTCAATCAAGCAGCTGCTTCTCCTAAAGTATGGCTACTCTGTCACCACAACAGCTGTGGCCATCCTATATGGCTAAAGACCCCCAAATAGCTCTGAGACATACTTGTCTTGGCCACAGCAGAAGTTTGAGGGAGCTTGTTGGTTCCTACCTCCATAGGAGCAGCAAGAGACAGAAGGCTCCATCTGCGAGGAAAGGTCCACAGTAGACACTCATATGCTGGTACCTTGATCTTGGACTTCCTACCCTCTAAAATTGTGAGGAATGCTTTTCTGTTGTTGATAAATTACCCACTACAGAATTTGTTACATAAGTCCAAATGAACATATAGACATTTCCTCCACCATTTTTGCCCTGATACCCTCTTTCAACCCTTATGTCTTTAACACAGTACTATTCCTGGGAGAAGTTTTTGTTCTTTGTTCCCACAGCCTCCTAACTTCCCATTCGTTCCTTATATCATAAAATATGACTGTTGCCTTGTCTCTTATCACATGGCCTTTTCAATCTCCTTGCTTTGATTTTTTTTCTGCTTCCTTGGATTCTGACCTAGTGTGCTCTGTGTTCTCAATTTCGCATCTCAATCCTCTTAGCCATTATAGACTGACCCTTTCCACTCATGTAGCTTATCTACCATGTATGATATTCCCCAACCCATAACTTCAATCATAAAATATTTCCCACGGCATAGAACCAGATTCCTACTACATCCTACAAGTATATTATAAGCACCTCAAGATCAACATTTCCAATCCTAAGATTGTTATCTTACTTCTGAAACCTGGTCTTCCCCTTTGTAGTATGTGTTTGTATAAACTGTACAACTTTACTCATTTGCTGAAGCTAGACTCTTGAAAGTCAATATATGTAATATTTATATATTATATATATATATAATATATATATATACATATTCCCCTTTTGTCCCTACATTAAGAGGAATCCCTTTCTGCAAGTTTTGAATGTAGCAGGTGCTCTTCAAATAGTAACTTCAGACATGCTACTTCTAGCCCTTTTTTGGAAATTAGTTGTGTATATCAGTTAAATAAAATAATAGTAAAAACATCATTTTCACACACACACACACACTGTAGCAAAAGGAGTGTAGAAACCCAAAAATTATGTTCAGGTTCTGAAATTTCATGTGAAGTACTATAGACTAGAACATATTAATGATAAGACAATTGTTGAAGTTCAAAGCTATACATTCTATGCTTTAAGTACATCATTGAAAGTACAAACCACAGGGCAGGGGATTTAGCTCAGGGGTTCTGCTGCCTGCCTTGCAAGCTGCAGAATCTGAGTTCAATCCCTAGTACCAAAAAAAAAAAAATGTACAAGCCACATAGGACTAAGATGCATATGAAAATTAAGTGTTGAGAATACTAAGCATTTTTTATAAAATAAGTAATAAAAGACTAGGGGAAAAAAAAGAAGACAAAATAAAAATTGGGACAAACTTTAAAATAACAGAATGGTAGGCCTGCATCCAAATAAATCAATATTTTCCTTCTATTCTCCTAGAAAAAATGAGACTAGGTGGAAAAAATGTAAACAAAGCTTTTTGTAAATAAGGAGGGGAAGAAGCGTTGAAGGGGGGAGGGCAATGGGAAAAAAGAATACTCAAGGTATATGTTGTGCAGGTACAGATTCCACATGATGAATGTTATTATGTATATCTAAAATGGATCAATAAAATTGTTTTCTAAAATAAAGTACATATTTTCATTAGAAAACAATAACATAATCAACCAATACACTAAATGTAAATGGGAACATGCATTCAATTAAATGATGAAGAGTATCAATCTATATCCAGAGTGAAAAAGGAAAAGTATACCTTGAACAATCAACAATATTTAATTTACTTAAGATATATATTAATATATGAAAGTATATGGTAGGTTGTAAAAGAAGGAAAGGAAACAGGAAAGGATGAAAAGAGGAAGGGAGAAGGGGAGTCAGGGAGAAGGGGAATCAGGGAGGGAGGGAGAAAATAAGGGGAAAACAATGACACTCCATACAAACAATAAATGTGCAAAAGCAGAAATGGTTGTAAATTTAAACGCAATGTGCATTAACTGCAAAAGTGATATTTCAAAATTACAAAAAGGATTTTATTTTTAAAGAAAATAAGATATTATAAATTTATCTACCAAATGGTAGGGCTTTATATTACATAACGTGAAAGTGGACCAAATGCAAACAAAATAATGATAATAATAAGAAGAACATATGCACAAAATTTTAAAAAATATTTTATTTATTTTTGGGGGGGGGGACTGAGAATTGAACTAGGGACCTTGCGAAGCAGGCAGCGGAACTACTGAGCTAAATCCTCAGTCCGATTTTTAAAAATATTTTAACACCTTTCTCTAAGGAACCAAATAAAATAATACCAACAAATCAATAATAATATAGAAATCTAAATAACATGATCAACCCTCATTTTAACTATTGGATAGAAATCTCTGAAGTTAGAGAATGTACACTGCACATGAATTCATTATATTAAGTCTTTAAATACATTACCTCAGTTATTCCTCAAAGCCACATGATAAATGTGTGATATGATTTGGATGTGAAATGTCTCCTAGGAGATCTGTACTGAAGGATTGTTCACCAGCCTGGGACATTTTTGGGAGGTGGTAGAACTTCATGAAGAGCTGCCTGGTGAAGGAAGTGAGGTCATTGGAGTTATGTGCTAGACATGACCCTGGGTCCTCTTCTTTCAGTCTTTGCTTCCTGGTTCCAAAAGGAGAGAAATCATCTTCTCTGTGAGCTCCATACCATGATTTACTGCCTCACCTCAGGTCCAAAGAAAACAAGGCCAATTAATCATGGACTGAAAAATCTGAAATCATGAGGCAAAAAATATTTCCTGCTTATCAGTTAATTTTCTCGAGTATTTTGTCACAGCTACAAAAATCAACACACAATTCACAATACTTATACAAAGAATTCATTTAGAGGCAATGGACTAGGAAGGTCCTGATTATGCCAGTGTTATATATTATGTTCCATTAAGTGTGAATTTTAAAACTAATCTTCCAAAGTACTGAGTCATAACTATTTGCCTGGAAATAGAAGGATAGATTCAGAAAACAAAAATTACATTTGACGTCTGCACTCAGTTGGAATATAATCACATGACAGACCCAGTATTTAGAGATACTAATTGAAGCCTGATGGCTCTGATCCACCTAGTAGTTATTAAAAAATAAAATCATCCAATAGTTTAGCTTATTCTTATGGAAATAAGGTCATTTAAAAGGCTTTTTGTTAAACAATTTTATAAATTGATGTTATCTTTTAGTTCCTTGAGAAAGTTTCAAAATTATGTTTTAAAACCATCCCTGAAGGATATGTAAAAATATTAAAGATTTTGTAGATACAAAGAGGGTGTAAACTACTTAAGCAAATTGTTTGGCAAACTACAAGGAATAAGAACACTGTGGCACACTCCCTGCCTGTTTTTATACCTAAAATTTTACTGGGGCATAGTCACACTTATTCTTTAAATGTTGTCTATGGATATTTCTTCTTATAATGTCAAACTGGAGTAGTTGATGCAGAGATCATGTTGACTATTAAGCTCTCCTTCCTGTCTCTGTGCCCTTACCAAAAAACAACAAAAACAGTTTTGCTGATCCCTTGCATCCAAAAAGCACACCGATATTTAAGTGTATAATATGAGAGAGAAGGGTTCTCATTTCAAGTTTTGATATATAACTAGATTCACTGTAAGAGACGTTTTTCATTTATGCATTAGTAATTTTCTTCACAGTGGAAGAATGAGCTAGTTGGTTGGTAAGGGATATTTGTTGGCATTTGTTGCTTCAGTGAATAGAGCTAATTTATTAAGAGGATAGATAATCTGAGTTTTCAGTGTTTCTCTGTTTTTCTTAATTTTTCTCTTTCCATTTTCTTCTTTGTGTTGTTGTTTATTTGTTTCTTATTTTTCCCCATGATTATGAGTGAATAATCCTAGATAACTATAACTGCTCTGTGGATTCTCACTTTCCTGACGGGCTGTAGCATTAACATGTCTGGAGGAGCGGGGATTATTTGTAAGTCTATGAGCTTCACATTTCCAAGAGAAGTTCCTACCCAACTGCACCAGTAATGAAGGTAATATCCCACCTACTGACTCCTCACTTACTGTTTGCAGAACTGTGATTGGGAAGAAGAACGTGACTCACTTGGCATTTATGATTCTAAGAACTCCAGTGTATCAAGTGATACACAGATGTTGGAACTTAAATTGTTCTCCTAATGAGACAAATTACCACATAGTTGCATAGTTTATCTTTACATTTTAATATTAAAATGCATATGATGGAATAAAAAAGATGAAAAGAAAACAATTTAGAAATAATTTTGAAAAAAGAATAATGTAACTGACTAAGAAAATCCTTCAGAGGTAGTGAAGATTGTGTATATTGAAAAGACAGAATTTTGAAAATCTGCCTGTTTTAGAATCCAGCCAAAGTAAAATGAGAAGTTACAGGTATGCAGCTGTGAAGGAATGGTGTCCATCTGAGTATAGAATACAGGAGCAAAACTGGATCATTCAACATGAGCAAGAGCATCAGAATGCTGAGAAAACAGAAAACATCAACTGCTTTGATATAGAGAATTATTTATTTTATGATCAGGCTTCAATTTTCTTCATCAAAATGATTTAACTAGCTCTCCTATCCTTAAAGATAAGTGTAATTCAGATGGACCTCTATTACCATCTCAGGGATTTAATGAGTTCTTTTGACACTATAATCCTGAGCACAGCAATTTGTTAAAAGTATTGTAACTTGACTAAATTAGAGGCATGAAGGTAAAATTATTTTTTTCTTAGACCTTTAAATGGACAATATTTCCCAAGAGGCATCATACTGGAAAACATCATTTTTGGAGCCAGGTATGGATTTCTAGAAATGTCCAGGGAAGAGCCTCTGTGATCATTGGAGTAAAGCAGGGGAGGCCAAGTTGAAAAATAAAGCAACTCTTTCACATAGCTGAATGTCCATTTTAAAATGTGTTTTATATCAAGTCCAAATCTTTACTTTTGTGAAACAGGAATTCTTTTTTATGTAAACCAGTCTCTATTGCTTTATATGGGATGGTATGTGATCAGAAATATTTGGGATTTTAACATTGCTAGTGTAAAATTCTGACATACAATACTGTAAATATTAATCAGTTTTGTTTTAGTTGTCAGCGAACTCTGTAGTTTTTGAGTCAAAAGTGTGAGTCAGGGAACAGTGCTTCTGAAAACCTTTAGATAGGCAAAAACTTTTCCAAACCACACAATTCACTCTTAACTATGTTATTCAATGACCAAAACAGGCAGAATAATGTTCCTTCAATATTTCCACATCCTAATCCTTGAATCCTGTTTATATACTACACTATGGTGAAAGGATTTTTGGTATGATTACACCATGGAAACTGACAGGAGGAGATTGTTTTGTATTGCTGCAGTGGGCCTAATTTAATCATGGATCCCTAAATGTTAAAAAGTTTTCTTGTTAGTTACAGAGAATGATAACTTCCAATAAATAGTCATTGAGATGACTCATTAAAGACTTTGAAGTCAGAAGAAAGAAGCCCAGATATGTTAATGACCTTTAGAATTTGGAAAGGACAAGCAGATTCTCCCTGGAGAATCAAGAGAGGAGCATATCCTGCTAATACTTTGGTTTTAGCCAGATGGGATCCATATCCAAATTCTGACCTCAAGAACTTAACTTTAAAAATGATATTGTGGTAATTTGTTAAGTTTCAGTATGAAACTAATACATTGTCCCTCTCTTTGTTTGCATTTTCCAGTATTTGCTTTAAATCATCAACTATTACATTTGGAGAAGTTCATAGGTTAATCTCATATTTTAGATGAGATATTGTAACCAATTATGAAGACTAATCTAAAACCAAGCATATGATACAGAGATTTAAAGGTAAACAATCATCAGGCATTCATTGTCTTGAGACAGTGGAGAAAACAAGTAAGAATCTGATCAGATTTTGGAATCCTGATTACTCCATCATGAGCTTCAAAAGTGGACTGCAAGAGCAAATGAGCTATTTCTCTTTCCCAGGTGTGTGGTCTGCTCAGTAACCAGTATTTGCCACTTGTCTGCATTCTGCAGCCTTAAACATAAAAAGCCAGGTCATTAATAGATGTTCAGACAAGTAAGGGGTCTTTACATTTAGCTGTAACTGTTAGCTATAGCTTAACATTTAACATTTTTATTTCCTTTTATTTAATTTTTCTTTAGTGTCATGTACTAGTCATTCAGACTTAGGATTCTGGCTGAGGATTTCCATGAGTTTTTCAAAGGGTCAAAGCGTTCTCCAAGCTGATGTGTGGAATACACCAATTAATGTACAACTCATGGACAAACTCAACTTACAAAAATAGACTCAGAAATATCCTCCATCCAGAGTGGGCCTGACCAACCTGAAAACAACCAGAAATAAGTATAAATGGTCCTTAACTTACATTGATGGTTCAACTTACTGTTTGTTTTTCTTTAATTTTATTATGGTGTGAAGGTGATATGCATTCAATAAAAATCATAGTATGAATTTTGAATTTTGGTCTTTTCCCAGGCTAGCAATGTGGGACAATGATACCTGCTGGTTAGTGGTAGCAACAGGAAGTCTAACTCTCTGTCAGCCAAATAATCACAGGGATCATTACATTCTACAGTGTACTGTGTTGCTAAGCCATTATGTTTGGTATGTTCAGCATATTAAATTCATTTTCCACATACAGTATTTTCAATTTACACTGGAGTTTTCTGGACTTAACCCCACTGTATGTCAAGAAGCTTCTGTACACAAAATTGAGTTAGGAACAGTACCAAAGCAAAAAATATCTAGTTGAAAGAATACATTTTCCCAGCAACCCAAGGAGACAATCATTACTATACATGGAGCTCTAGACATTTTCCCATCACCTAGGAGACGGCATTTTAGTGAAAGAAGTACAAGGAGTGAGAGACAACCTAAATCAAGAGACCTCTAACTTTTCATAGAGTTACAGAGTAAATATTTCATAACATGTAGTACATGAGGTCTGTGTTACAAATACACACATGAACAAGTGTGCTGCTCAGCTATTTTATCCAAAAGCAACTGGGAGTATAAATTAATGGGTATGGCTGTAGTTTTAAATTTAAGTCCGGGGAGTTTGGAACAAAATGAAAAAAGGTCTGATTACAAGTAGAGGATAAAACTCAGTGTTTCAACCTCTGCCAAGCAGGTATAAAATAGGTAGATAACTGAAAACTTGGATGGAAAAAAAATACTCAAATGAATAATAGAAAAAATATTTCACTAAAAATAATAGTAAAATATTTCACTTTAGTTTTTCTCCTTACCAAATGTTATCCAACATGCTGTAATCACCAGATTTTTACTGTGATTTTGAGGAAAATAAATCTCAGTTGCTTAGAAAAATAAGCACACGTTTTATTTTATCTTGTTCAGTACATCAGCAAGAGTGGCTCTACTTTGGCATAAAGAGTACAGGTCACATCTCCTCCATGAATCTTTCATCCCAGGGTCAATTGACACCCCAGATAGTCTTATGGTAAATCACAGAAAAGCAAGAGTGGTGTAAATTTAAAACTTTATTTTACGACTATATCCTGACTTCAATCTACATGCTTTTGGCAAGATAGTCACTGAGTATTAGGCCAATGTCACAGAGATGTATGCTATGCTCCGAGTGGAAGTACTGCAAAACCATATGACAAAGAGTATGAATATATAATTTTATTTTTTGGAGGGAGTATTTGTTGAACGACATCAAAATGGATGGGTGCAATTAATAAAATGAATCAAAGTTATATATTACATCAATAAAGAAAAACTTCACCACCAATATGCATTCACCCTTAGTTTTCAAAATCATTTCAACATATTGAAATAAAAATGTTATAAGTACAAGAAAAATTGATAAATGCATATTTGTCATGGTATAATTAACAGATACCTTTGCTCTCACCATGTATCACTTAATAAATACAAATAGAAAATGTCACTCAGCAGATATGCTATTTGCTATTTCCTCATCTTGTTACAGGAGATTTAATGTTTCTAAAGTTACATCAATTTAATGTCTCTCTCACAAGATCTATAAAAGAAACAGCACTTTGTTAAAACCCATGCATTGTTAGCAAAAAGCCTGGTAACAAAAAGAACTTACATAATTTCTTCTCAGGTAGTATCACATGGTTTCTCTTATAAGAGTAGCCCAATTTTAAATAAAGAGCAAAATAAAAATAGATAATTGGAAGTAGAAAGCTAGATCTTTCTAAATGGGAAGACGATCCGGAGATGGAGGGAGAAAAATGGGAGGAAAGGGAAAGGGGATGATAGAAGGAATTAAGAGGTGTTATGTGAACACACCAACTCCAAACAAGAAATGTAAATACTATGTATGTTAATATGTACTCTAAAAATAAAGAGCTAAAAAATTTTAACTAAAATAGTATACTTATTTGAAAATAAATAAAACAATCTGGACTTGACAAGCATCAAAACATACATCATGGAGGTAAAAAATGATCATTAAAATTAAAATCCTGATAACAAAGAATGCATGCTTATGCAATATTCACGAAATATGTGAAAAATTTCTAACAGAGAAAAAGAAAAACTCAATAAATTCCCACAAAAAATTAAGACAAATTTTTGTCACAATAAAGCATCATAGATGAAAATTGATATTAAAAGTCTTTTTACCACCTTCAACTCCATTTTGAAAAAGATATGAAAGTTGAAACTGCAAACTATCAAGTAAAACCTAAGAACACTAAAAAACTCTATGAAAAAAACGTTTTTTCAAGAACGAAGTTTAACTAGAGTAAAATTCCTTAAAATCAAAATTAAAGTTTAGAATTCTTTCAAGAAAAAAGTTTAACTACAGTAAAATTCCTTAAAATTATTGATACGTACTAGACAATAAATAAAATATAGTAAAATAAACTTAGAATAAGCAAAGCAAATAGTAAAATAATTATGCAATATGAAATTAATTAGAAAGATTTGAAGGCAGAAATTTTAAAAATTATTATTAAATAAAAAGCTGATTTATCATATTAGATGAGATAAAAATTTCTGATTCCAATTAAGAAAACATCTTAGAAAAAGTGAGAGGAGGGGCTGGGGATTTAGCTCAGTGATTTCGCCGCCTGCTGCGCAAGCTCAAGGACCCAAGTTCAATACCCGGTACCAAAAAAAAAAAAAAAAAAATGAGACAAGTTG